GGTTAATCCTACTCCATGGAAATAAATTACAGGTGGAAGGTTGGTCTGAAATAACCCCCCCCCCACTCTCTCTGCCACCACGCCAAGTGTCTAGGATACTAAATGAAGGGCATGTTCACAAATATGCTGGCCAGCAGGACCTGAAGAAAAGGTGAAGGGCATAGGGGGTTGCCATGGGAACCAATAATACAGAGTTCCAGAAGGCGCAGAAGAATGTTCCGAGGTTAAAGGTCAGAGCCGAGGAGCAGGAAGGTGCTCAGGACAGAAGGTGAGGGTTAAACTTGTTGGCCCAGAGTTCGGTGCCCTCATCGCTTGTCCTTACTTAAGCTTTCTCCCCATTTCTCAATCCCTGTTTTGGGAAAGTGATCCTCATTATCCTTTACTTCAGCAGGTCCAGTTTGAGAGCAATAGCCAATGCATTCCTCTAATGCATTGGTCTTGGTTGTGGCTGGAACTCGAGCATTATTGTGGTCAGGCCCACATTACACAAGCTTTTCTACACACAGGAATGAAAGCCGTCTATACAGAGCATTAGGCGATGCAGAAGGCCAAGTGATCTTTATCTGATGTGTACGCCTAAGGTAAAAGAAATATCCTGGGCCGTTCGTAGGGCCACGCTGTCCAACCGTTAATTCATATATAACTTTATCAGTCACTTTGTTGTTGTCAAAAGCATTCAGAATCTAATGAATATTTTAATATTAGGTGTAGAGAGTATCTGCTTTCCCAGCTATGCAGTTCGAGTATCAATCAATGAATGCAGTCCCAGTTTGTTAATAGTATATAGGAGCTCAAGCTCTTAGCCAAACCACAGAGTTCTGGCAAGAACACTTAACAGGGCAGGCAGGCAGTCTGGCTATTTACTGTTGGGTAATGTGTTATTAATTTGTTAGTTCATTTCTGCCTCCGGGAAAAAAAAAGAAATGTACTGTATGAAGCTGACAGCCAGGTGAGGGACTGTGAAAACCGAGGTGGGCACAGCACTACCTCAGGATTCTGGGGGCCCTCACCTGGTGTGGTTTTTTTATTGTGTGGAAATAACAGAGCACAGCCCCTTTCTGAAGTAACCGTCTGCCCTTCGTGGACTCTCCTCACAGTTCGCACTCCTTTCATTCGAATGCAGCCAAGATTAAAAAGGTCGGGACGTCGTGCTTTCAGAGCAGCAGAAAGGGGCTCCGCACGGCGCGTACAGTATGCGAAACCAGAGGCAGAAAAATGCCGCCCGTGAGACTGAATCAGAAACCCAGCCATTTCCTGTGCCCTGGGCCTGGCGGTTTGTTTGCCATATATGGCAATGGAATTTGCATGAGCAAATGATGGCCTATGGATCGGGGCTGGTGCTAAAATTCCACGGATGCTGACAGATTAAATATTGGAAATGGTCTGTTACCAAACTGGAAAAGAGGAGGAAATGAACCCGTATGTTTCTGGCACAGACCCTAAATTATCCCTGTGTGCACTTGCTTCAAAGGCCCCATGTGCTGTTATTGCACAGAGCATCGTCTTTCTGGAAAGTAGAGTCTTTTGTACACGACAAGTTGCAGAATTAGCAGCAGGTATTTGATGGTGATTGCTAACTGGTCTGTACCCATTGTTGAGGTTTTTAATAGTAGATAAGCCGGGTATGATAACACTTTCTTTAAGGGTAGGGTATTTACTTGTCCCAGTTGTACACTGTGTGGGGTTTGTATTGTTTTGAACTACAGCCAGTGAAATTAGATTCCATATCTAGTAAGCTTGCAATATACAGTTAATGTTATCGAAGTGGAATTCTTTATTTTTTTATTTAAAAAAAATATGATTTTGTATAAATTGGTTCAAAGGCCATATTACAGTTAACTGTAATTAATAGTATTTAATAGTAAAAGTAGTTAATAGTAAAAGTAAGTAATAGCAACTTTTACTGCTGTTATTATGAGTTATGGAGCAGTCAGGATGATTAAACACTGCTTGGTACATGAAAAAAATGCATGGTATTTTCTATTTAGGAATTTCACTCCCTAACACTTAGGTTAATATCTAACCCATAAAATATCTGCTACCAAGGACAAAAAGCAAAATATATCAGTCAGATCCAGCTTTTTGTGAAGAAATAGCAGAGGGAAACTTATGATCTTCTGTAGATCAGTCTCAGCTTTATTCCTGTTAGTATTTTTTATTTCCCTTAGAGCTCATTATACAGCTAAGTGGTTAGCAGTAAGTGTTTTTTACCTGCCAAAAAAGTTTTTAATGGAGAGCCTGCAACCAGTTTTACAATCTGTAACAGGCGGGACATTTATTTAACTAAATGAGTCCTTATTCATTGTCTAACAATAACTTGCATAGAGTCCATTACACACTTCTTTTTCATAAAGATAACTAAACATCCACTACAGGACTGTCAGACTTCCAGTGGAATTCATTTTCATTCTGAAAACACACACCTCTTGTAAGAACTCATTCCTTCTCAAAAGCGTTTTCCTGGTATTGTGGCACGGAGCAGACCTATCGCAGCACTTGTTTCATGTCATGTAGGAAACATTGAAATCAGCTGACCTTAGTACGCATGAACACCAGGGCTGGCCATCATCCTAACCTGGGTTGATGGCAGAAATGTTATCATCTGGAATCAGGCTAATCTAAGATTTACAGTATAGTACACAGGTGGTTTAGGTTAAGTGTAATGTGCAAGGGTCAGCTGTTCAGCTCAGAGTCACACTTTTCCTCTATTTAGACATTCACAAGGAAGGCTATATATACACATGTGTATATTTTTTTGTCTGGAGAGAAAGGAATTGGACTGGAGGATTTGTACTGAGGGAAAAGTGTTATTGTTTCTTCTGAATAGTAGTTTAAATCCATTATGAATAGTGGAGTTTTTCTCAGGTGGGGTGGTACCTATACAGTAGCTATAAAGCTCATGAAGAATTCACAGAAGTTCTAGTTCTGTTTTAATATGAAAATATTTACAGTATGATAGACCTAGAACACCTAGTATTGTTGAATTATGGAATCAATCACCTGCTGAATTTGCCTTTTATCCTGTTTATCCTCATGCATATACAGTGCCATCGATGTTACCGTATACCAAAGAATTGGGGGGATTTTAGTTCTAGTTTTCAATTTTAAATCCGTCCCTGAAAAAAATAACGCTCTTTATTGAGCTTAATTCAACACAAATTCCTGGAATTTAGCGTTTCGAGATTCCGCGATCCCTGTACATCCCACAGGACTGTGGCTCTCCACAAAAAAGTTTGGCTGAATTGAGTCTGACCCCTAACAGAAAACCCTGACATATCAAGTCCTGTCATCACTAAAGCATTTACATATAGGAAAACAGAGGGAGCAGGTATGCATGCTTGTGTCACTATTTATGAGATAACAGTGGTCACGCATTCCAACAGTGTGCATTGTCACAGAGATCTTCAAAAGGTGTGTCACACCTGTGTGATACGGAAGTATTTAGCTTTCCATTGGAACATTATCTTCATGAGGCCATATATTCATTACCTGTTACCCGTGACATCGGCCTTAAGGAATCTAACCCAGTTTGCCAATAGAACAAGAGGAAGCAGAATTTGTTTACATGCTGTCAAAAAACCCGATAATGATTACCTTCTGAAAAATAAAATCGACCAGTAATTTCTGGCTCTCCCACTGTCTGAAAAATGTACCAAGAAAAAGACCTTCCCTTCAGTAAGCATTCCTTTCTGAGCGCTGGAGCCCCTTGTGAAGAAGGAGCCGGTTAGGAATGAGAGTGCCTTCTTGCGGGTGTGTAAGAATGTTGCATAACTTGAAATGAGCTCAATAATTACTACATGGCTACCTGTACTGCATCATCTGTGCTTGATTTGTTGTCTACAGAAAATGTGCTGGTGTATGCTATGGTGGAAACTCTTTTCGGATGAGGCTACGGAATTTCAGAAAAAGTTTTATCAGACTTGTCTCCTCCAAGGAAAAGCAGTGGAGGATTTCTGGAAACCTGGAAACACTAGATCCTGCTGTAAGAAAGGAATGCAAAAGAACGTAAAGCAGGAATCTGCCCCTTTCAGAATAACACAGGTTTTTATTGCAGGTTGCAGCGCCTGCTTTTCTGGCTTGGCCAAATTTGCTTGCCTTTTAAAACCCTTGTCCTGGGTGCAGCTGCTGGTGCTGAATGACACTAGTTTAACTGGCGCAACTCCCTTGATATTCGAAACTCCTTGGGGTCTTTGTTTTTTAAACAGTCATTATAACACTCTGTCTCGTGTGCTCAGACGCGGGTGGTTGTTGGGCACAACAACATTATTTCTCTCTGTTCACAATACGGGGAAATGCAGTATGGTCTTGCATCAGAGAAGCCTCATGTTCCCACACCTGCGCAATGTCAACCCGCAGGCCAGGCTGGTGTAAGATTAGCCGAGCATGGTGATCAATCACTGAAAGTGTTTCCCCCTTCGTGCTTATTGCACATACAGCATCCTTTCTTCTAGCACATTCTTCATGCGCACAGCTATCAGATTTACTGTTACCTCGTGAAGTTTCTGGATTTTTCCTCCCAGAGATTAGATTGTACAGGCAATGCAGTTTGGAGCTGTTTTTTGTTCTTCTTCACGTGCTTTCTTGTAGAAAGCTTTTCTCAAACGTAGTGAGAAAGGACAGACCTTTTATTAACCACACTACAGGGATGTTGTGACTGGGCCAGAATAGATATAGAAGATTATTTTTTTATTCCTTCTGCATTTCATTTAAGAGTTAAGTGGTGATGAGTTCGTTTTCCTGCATTGACTAATGCTCTGGAACAACACTAAAGTTTTGGAGAAGTTTAATTCTCAGGGGAAATGCTGCTCACAGCTCACTGTAACAGTAGCCCAGATGACAGTGATTCACAGCGGATGACGAATTACTGATGAATGAGCTCAGTTTCTGGAGTAAGAGCCCTTTTTGGACTTCTGCAATGGGACCCTTTTTGAAACGAGGGCGTCTTTGAAAGCTCCTCTTGTTTCTGCTTTGTCTAATGAAATCTTTCTCTTCAATGACAGGGGAGCAAAGGCCACTACCGGTACCACTGGCAGAGTCACAACGTCAAGCAGAGTGGCGTGGACGACATGGTGCTGCTGACGAAGATCAACGAGGATGCCATCGTGGAAAACCTGAAGAAACGCTACATGGATGATTACATCTTTGTATCTTTTATAGCCCTTTTTTATAAAAAAAAAAAACCCTACAAGGGCAAATTCAGCATCAGCTCCTGGGGAGAAGTAGTTAATCTGGTTTTAGTTTTAGTGTTAGATACAGCAGCTGTAAGATGTCTTAAACAAGGCATCGGGTAACTTCTGAATATTAGCGCTTGGGTTAATGAATGTGGCCGTGGGCAAGTCTGTCTCGGAGATGCCAGTTTCAATGTTGGCACGCACCCTGGCACCAGGCACCAGGCAGGTAGGGAGGGAGATCTGTGCTTACCTACCTCAGCCTTCTGGGTTTTTAAAGTCAGGGGGAAAACGAAAAAAGATCTCATCTTTCTCTAAATGTAATATGAATCCCCTGCAGGTAATGTGGCTGAAAATCTTTCAAAACGGCATGGCATGTATGCGAAAAAAGGAATTCAGATAATTTTCTAGACTTTCAGAGATGCTTTGAACTGTCAACTCCAGAGGAAGTTCGGAAATAGCACAGTTGCTATAATAACCATTTCCTTTGTCAGCAGACCAGCACTGAGACCTAGTTCATATTAATAACATCATGATTCTCTATAAAACCTATAAACTCTGGTGTGGCTGTTTTGTATTGCTGTTGCATTAGTCAGTCAGGCATTCCCAGCCTTTAATGACATTCCAAAATAGTAAATAAAACAAAATCCATTTACTTTTCCTTCAGTCATCCGTTTATCCATGCGATTCCAAACCTCTGTGGTGTTGGTTGCTGGTATTAGTTATTCAAAGTAACAGGTGTTTGTGTACAATGTTGGTCTTGGAGCCTAACAAAAAAGTAAGATGCTAACCAGCACAGAGAGTACTAATGCTTATGAGCAAATGTGCATCGTCAATACAAGAAACACCAGGGTGAAAAAGCCCACAGAGAAGTGCTACCGAGCTAAGACACGACTAGCCAGCTTGAAGCCTGTATCAATTCCCTGATTGTGTCAGAACAACAGCCACGTGCAAGTGCGACACACAGTACCACTTCACAGGGGATGACCACACCGCCCCTCTGAATATGGCCTTTATTGGCCCGTGTGCTTGAATATTGGATGAGCAATCCTACAGAGCAGCATGGTAGCGCAGCGATTGGCATTGCTGCCTCGCAGGGACGTGCCCTGGGATCAATTCCAGAGCTGGCGTCTTTCTGTATGGAGTTTGTATGTTTGCATGTGCTTTCTCCTGGTGCTCTGTGGTTTCCTGCCACAGTCCAGGTTAACTGGTTCCTGGGAAAACAGAGTGCTTATCTCTGTCTGTGTGCGCCCTGCGATGGACTGGCATCCCATCCATGATTTGCCCTGCCTACCCGCCTGCTTTACCAGGACAGGCTCCAGCTCCCTCACCACCCTGAATTGGACAAAGCAGTTAGAAACTGGATGAATGGGATTCCTCCGGCAGGAACAGCAGCCACTGGTGGCTGGCTCACAAACTGCCTGTCAGCGGCTGTCGACCCAAACAAAAACAAGTGGGTCCTGCCCCTGCAGGACACAGAGCTGACATCACCCCCTTTTCCACGAGCATTAGATCACTTCATAAACGCTCTGACATTTGTTTAAATTGATACTTAAAAAGCCACAAGGAGTCGCTTTATGAGCTTCGGCGGTTAACACTCTTTTAAAAGAATGAGATTTTTAATATGGAAAAATCAAGTTTGCTTAATGGGGAACGCATCAGCGAAATTCAGTGTTATGCCGTAACTTCAGAGTTGCAGGGATCTGGTAATTTTGTACATTTTTTGGCTGTGTGCAGAGATATATTTGGATCACACAGATTAAAGGAAAAAAACTACAACTAAGAGAATTTTTTTTTTTCTGTGCACATTGAGCTGACCACAATGTTACGGGGAATCGACAAAAAAACATTGTTATACCTGGAATATCGGCAAATAAACCTAATTGAAAGAACCTTTTTGATAGATCTGTAGTTTGTAGTAGCTTTGTGTAGAGAGGGACAAACGCTGTGATTAGTCTGATTTAATTGCTGGATTAGCTACTCTCTACAGTGTGCCTCTCGATGGTTGCTCATGCCCTGGTGTTATCACATTTTTTCAAGATTCTGATCAACTGCTAAAAGACAAGCTGAGTTTCTTCTGACCCACACTAACAAAATAAGTCCATACCAGAACCACAGCAGCTCCTCCTGATTTCTGTAGCATTAATTGGACTAGACAGCATGTGTATGCCCCTCCAGGATGCACTCCCACCCTGCTCATACCAGGGCAATGTACCACACTGAAGGGTACAGCCCCAGTGATACAGCTATGGGCACATGAACCCACAGCCTGGCGGTTCAGTCCGGTAGTGTACCCATCATCTCGCACGCCCCTGCTGACCCAGAGTAAGCTCCAGTAATAACAGTCAGAACTGCTAGAGCACTAGAACACAGTGATGGAGGCTTTAAACAATATTTTGATGCCCAGACTTTGTGTTGTAATTCCCGAAAGTGGCCAAGATGTTTGCCCAGCAGTGCAGGCAGTATGTGCAGTACGTGCCAAAGATAAACCTTAACCCTAGCGTTCAGACATACATTGGACCCGTGCTCATCTCTGTAAATCCCTTCAAGCAGATGCCTTACTTCGGAGACAAGGAAGTGGAGATGTACCAGGGAGCGGTTCGTATTGACCAGATGTTAACGAGGGGGTCTTCCCCACTCCCGGGGGGTTCCTTTGCTCCCCACTGTTTCTTCATGCTGTGAGAGTTGCCGAGAGCCACCGTGCTCTGCTCCGCGCATAGCTCTCCGGCAGCTCTCTGGGAACCAGCTCCTTCGCTTGGAGAATTGGAGTGTCGTTCACTTGGGCACGACAGCGCGCAGAAAGACAGGGTTGAGTTTTCTAGGTGTGGCACAAGAAGAAGTTCCCACAATTCTCAGAGTTGGCACGGACCTAATCTGCAAGGTTGTGCCTGCCTTGCTAACGCCGGTTTCTGCTGCGTTGGCTCTGCAGTCAGCTGCGCTCTCACTGTTGACGTTGGGTGGGTAGCAAACCTGTGTGGGCCCCCATTCTTTTATTTTTTTCCCCCAATCAGCATCTTTAAAAAAACATTTGCTGAAACTCCATCACACTCATTCCATATCCTCGTCCTTGGTATCCCAGTTTCCAATGGAATTTCTGTTCTAGCGGAGCTTGGAATTTCAAAGCAGAACCCTTAATTAACTAACAGCTAATGATTTGTTTCCCACCTCTGCCGTTCTAGTACAGATGTGTTTCAAGTGCTTACACATTACCTTAAAATATAAAAAACAGCATTTGAGGAGATCTGCAACAATTAGAAGAAATAATAATTCCTTACATTATTAGGAGGCCATGATTGGTAAAAGCCAGGGGGAAATTTTGGCCAAGACATCAGAGTAACTCCCCTTCTCTTCTTGAGAAACAGCCAGAGATTTTTAATGACCACAGAGTCAGGACCTCAGTTTTACTTCATCAGAAAGGATGGCGCCATTGTAAATTAATTATGCTTCCGATTTGTAACTGTTTTGTTCGCAGGCCCAGTACGAGAACCCTCCGCACATCTATGCCCTGGCAGACAACATGTACAGGAACATGATGATCGATCGAGAAAACCAATGTGTCATCATCAGGTAATGGAGATCTTCTTCGCAGTGCTGTTATGGATCGTTTTTGGGCAGGATAAATCCCTTTGTAGTGTCTGTGCATGGGTGCAAAAAACAGGTGCAAGGGAGAAGGAGCAGCTTCTGCGAGGTGCAGAGGAAGCTGGCAGCGGGCAGGTAGTGATGGCTACCTGTGGGTCCATACTGTCATCCAGAGCAAGAGCAGTCTGCAGCATCTAGACTACCGAAAGGAGGAAGCTAAGCAGTTGGAAGAGGTTATGCATCTGTATCATGCACACTGGCCGGCATCACCAAAGAAGGAAATTTAGAGGCTTTTTTTAAATGAACATAAGATGATGAATCCAAATGCAGCTCAGCTCCATTGGGCTAATTATTGTTTTTCCAGGAGAAAAAGTATTTCTTTCATTTCAAAACAGTTCTGCAATTGGAGTACTTGATTTTTTTAAAAAAAACCCGCCTGAAATTCAAAAAGGGGGGGCAACGAAAAGGGGGGAAATAAAAATGTTTTTATTTTGTACGTTAAAAAAATGAAAGGGCACCATCTGCACAGGCTCATTCTGATTTCTTGTGATGGGAAAAGTATACAGTATATTATTGCTTGGTGGTTATAGCAACATCCAACCAATTGTTGTGTTCAGACCAGTAGCTATAGCATACTTGTAACCTCCCAGTAGCAGTCCAGACTTGCATTGTGATTAACGGAAAAGGCTTGTACGACTGGGATGCTCTGAAATCCATGACTGTATTGAAGAATGCGCTAAATTAGTAAACTTATTTCAGAGGCGCTTGGCATCTGCCTGCATGTGTATCTCTTTACAGCAAGTCACTTGACATGTGGTGTTCACCAGCAGTCCCTCCACTGGGAAGATCTACAGGCTTAATTGCTTTGACATTTGGGGCTGATTTGCACGGGTCTAGTTCCCTCATCATAAAAGCCACAGGCCTGGGTTTTGTGATTAGGTTTCCCGATCTGCAGTTCTGAAGACCACCCATGGGGAGTTAATTACCTTCAAGGCCACAGTGGAAACGTGGAAACTGCACAGTTTGTTTTGTCTCTGCCTACAGTTCAGCACAGCAACTTTGGAAGCTCGATCACGGTCAGGATCAGTCTGAGGGCCTGAGAACAGGAAACTGAGGTGGAAATCGGTGTCTGGCGCACTGCTTTAGTCTCGTAGGAGGCAGTGGCAGTGCGGACTGGTGTTAGTGCTTACCTCATGGCTAATTGGGCCTGTTTCAGCACTTTTCCTTGCTGGCGCAGAGCGAACAGCTGCCAGTCCAGTCTCCCACATGAAAGGAGTGGAAGTGAAATCGTGATGAGCCAGATTAGAAAACAAAGCTTAGCATACCACTGGACAGGCAGGTGGTCAGCATCACCTAGAGCCTCTTCTGAAATCATAACTCGCTGCGGAATGAGCGATTGGAGATGGTTGTTGACGTGGCAGTCCCCCCCTCTTCCCTCTTATCATTGCGCAGTATTTTTCTTTTTGTACAAGTTTGGGGTTTTTGCTTTTCATTTTTCACACAGCAAAGCCTGTTACGTTTTCCTTTTAACCAAGAAGGTAGATGAGGGCATCTGAGCAACACTGTGGTCCACTGTTCAGATTTTGACATGGGCGGCCCTAATCGAGTAGTACTTACAGGGTCCCTTCTGCCAGGGGTACTGTAAAACAAGCACAGCATCCAGCACCTTCAAGGAGGGTTTTCACTTTTTGTTCAGTTCAGCCTACCCTAAGAGATTTATTACAACAAGGAAGCAGTCTGTAACTGCTAATGGGAATTAGGAACCACGAAAAAAAAAAAAAACATCAGCACTTGAAGTGATTCTTTGCCAAGAGACTAAAGTTAAACCTGCAACTAAAGCAGTTCATGGTTTGTTTGAGGTGCATGTGGGCCTGTGTGCTGTAGCCCCTACAGGTAGGGGGCGCTGCTGGGTCCATCAGGATAGCTGTTCTAGAGGGCTCCGGGACTGGAAACAAATAATTTATCAATACTTTTAGTGTATGCCCAAAACATGTCTCCTATTTAAATTCCAGAAATGTTTCTTATGTCTTATTGTATAATAATAATTGCTTACACTTATATAGCGCTTTTCTAGACACTCCACTCAAAGAGCTTTACAGGTAATGGGGACCTCCCTCCATCAGTGTGGAGCCCCACTTGGATGATGCAATGGGGGCCATAGTGCACCAGTACTCTCACCACACACCAGCTCTCAGTGGGGAGGAGAACAGAGTGATGAAGCCAGTTCAGAGATGGAGATTATTAGGAGGCCATGACTGGTAAAGGCCAATGGCAAATTTGGTATGTTTAGGAATTATGTTCCAAACAAACACTGGAAACTTCACACTTTAGAGGAGAGAAGCTGTCTGTGTGCATAAGATGCACTATGAGGGGGGCTTTTCTCAAGGGTCTTCCCGAGTCCTACAGTTCCTGGGTGTCGCGGCAGCACCCCACTCAGGAAAAGGGTGGTGCCCCTGCTCCCAGCTCTGCAATGAGGACCTTCATCTGGCAGGATGCTGATCTGTACAAGACAGCCTTCCCCGTTCAGAACTATTTCCCACACTCCTCGGATTGGCAGTGTCTAATAATAAGACACCACAATCTGCACTTTGCCACCTTTTATTTTTTTATAAACCTATAAAACTCAGACTTTTATTGCCTTCTGCAAAAGAGGGCATTTCTCTGGCACTGCAACAGAAGCTTTTTTTCCCCCCAGAATAAGACAAGGCAATAAAAACAGGGTTGTATCTGTGCAGGGTGGAAACCCTGAAACTGGAAAGATGCAAAATCCATTTCAGTAAAACTGTTTTAATTAGAAAAACAAACCTGCAGGAAATGTAACGTGACATCATGCATCGTTTTATGAAAACGCGCTGGACCAATAGTAGCATTTATCGCATGGGGGCTTTGTAATAATCAGAAACAATGAAGGCAGCAAGCATTTCTAAATCGGTTAAACTATCATTCCTGCTAATACTGAATGAAGTTTGTATAATTTGCCCTTTCAGTCAGTCAGTGACACACACTGTGTTTTGGGCAGCAGAAAATGAGTCTGTGTTGTATTTCAGTCACTCCAGCTATAATCTTTGTTGAGCTAATAAATCCTAGAGGAAGTCCACAATGTGTTTACCATCTGACTGCTGTGTAATTACAGTGTACAATAGGGAACACCCCAACGGAGAACAGAAACTTGTCCCAGAATCCAAAAGACAGGCTTTTCCAAGCACCGCAACAGTTGCTGTGCGGCTGGAGTAAACATGCCTTTTTGTTTCAAAACAGCAGAGTTAAAGCTGCAAATTCTGTAAACATTGTGAAATGACAAAAGAAACTACAGCTACAAATCGTGTAAATCTTGTTCCAGAAGAACAGGGGGTAGGTGTCCTGATGCACTTACTAGTACTTCATGTGGGGAGCCTGCCAGACAAAATACAGTATTCTCTGTGAAGAACAACACTCGGCTTAATAAGAGCATTCAATGTGCATGTTACCAAACTTTATATGAGGGAGGTTTGGTTAAATCTTTACTCTAATAATACTCAAACAAGTTCCCCTTTGTAATTTTACGGTGCCCCAAAAATCATACTTTGTAACCAGTCTGGTTACACTTAATCAAATATTGTACATATGTCTTGTGAAAAGAAATGCACAGGCTCGAAGGCTGGGTGGAAGTGTTTGGCCTTGTGCTTATACATTTCTAATGTCTGGTACTAGTCTTTGCAGAGACCTGCTAGTTGAAATCGGGAATCTCAAGTCAAATCCACACCTGCTGGGCATCCACAGTATACTGTAGCTGTGTGGGTATTGTAAAGTGATCACAGCAGACTTCCTTTTATAACCACCTGATGCTTTCCCTAAGCATTCAGGCCCCCGCAGGCATTTTCAGTAGGCGTGATTAAAAAGACACTTTTGTCATCTGAAGCCAAACGTCTATCTCAGCATGTTGAACTGCTCTTCTCCTTTTCCGATTCCCGAAGCCGTGCTCCTCTCTGTCTATCCTTGGAATCTGGGATGCAAATGGGTTTTCCCATGCCACTGTGGCGAAACGGGAAGCAGGGAGAGAGTTTGCCAGACCCTCATGGGCTCGTCTCTCCCTGTGCAGAGAGACCAGGAAGGTGGTGCTCCGCACCGCCGGGATGCTCTTAGTCACATTTCATTGGCAAATCGGGAAGCCTTAAAATCGTCTGGTGACCTGGAACCTGGACAAGAACAGCTTGAAGCAAGATGTGCTCTTTTTCTCTCTGCTGTCCCATTTTATTTGATCCTGTTGTGCGCTAACACAGTTACCATTCTCATTGACTTAAAGGAGCAGCAGTCTGTGATACCAGGATTGTACCTTCAGCAAGCTGACCTCAGCTTGGTTAACAGTGGAAGCTGTCTCTTTAGATTTTCTAGAGTTCACTGGGGGTGGGGGAGGTCTAGACATCTTAAAAAGAGCAATAGGATTCCCTTAAGAAATGTCCCAAACAGACGAGGCCCTGTCAGTCCAGTCTGTTATTTGTATTAATGAGGGATAAGTATCTGTTGACAAGGAGGGGATTTGTTAAACCCCCCGTCTCTTAAAACCTGTCAAAGGAGACCACAGCCGTTCTCAAAGCACACTGAACAAAATGCCATCCCTTTGTGTGACAAGAGCAGTCAGCGCAGTCCCGAACGTTATATATGCCTAAAGCCAAGATTAAAAACTAGGCTGTTGAAACAAAGAACAATAAAATATACTGGAATTTTATTTTCCACTGGAATGTGACATGTCAAATACTGTACATCCCAAAGCAAAACATGGGAGGTACTGTACGCAGTTTGTCTACAACATCGAATCATTTTTGGAGTCGGAGCAAAGCGGCCATTCCAATTCTTTTAAAGTCGACTGTGGAGGTCAGTCAGAGGGGCCCAGCCCTGAAAGCCACAGAAGTGTTTTACTCTTCTCCAGAACCCCTGGCTTACAACTGTTTTAGCTTTGAAGCCTGGGTAACAAATGGAAATATTTAGGGCATCATCTGTGTTTTATTGTCGGGGTTGCCACAGGATGATCACAACTGAGACTGTGAATCAAGAATAAAAACCTGCAGTGATTGGCGCTGACGTTTAAATAGCTGCACCGTTATAAGTGCCTGTTAAAAGATCCATAACAAAATTCCTGAATACTTATGGATTATAAATATAGCTGGAAAAACCTCTAATGGATTGTCGTTGTTTTTTTTTGGTGTTTTGTTTTCTCAGTGGTGAAAGTGGTGCCGGCAAGACTGTGGCTGCTAAGTACATCATGAGCTACATCTCCAGAGTGTCTGGTGGTGGGTCCAAAGTCCAGGTGAGGCACCAGATGAAGAGCAGACAGCTCCCTCTGCTCTTCCATCATGCTGCGTGCTTTTAGAGCCAGGGAGAGCTACCTGGACCACCGTGCGTTGCCGTGGGTTAAAAACAAAACAGAAGGGCCTACAAGTCTGTCACTGCTCTCACTTATAACCCTGTACCAAACGTGTATAATCTGTGTTACGTTAAAAAAAAACTTGGGCTTCAGCCTTCGTTGGTGGTTTCAGCATTGCTGAACTCCATGCCTGTTCGGATTTGACTTCGACTGCCAAGCAGAGAACGCTTTCAGGCGTGATCTTAGACATGTCTGATTCCTTGTAGGTTTTACCCAAGTCTTTAAAGATTTTAATGATAAGTTTACAAGTGGCATTGTAAATCCTACTCCACACACGCACACATCCCAGACTGCCATTCTCTTGTTGGACAGACCTGCCCGGGAGCTGGGCTACCAGTCTTCCACCAGACTGGCCCATCTGTTGATCTCTCAGAAAGGCAGATGTCCTCTTCTTCAAGTCCCTCAGTCAACCGAAGAATAATAGCACTTTTAAAGACATTAAGATTTTGCGATCTTGCCAAAGACTGCCTCTAAAACTCCTTGCTGGCTTAGAAAGATCTTAGACATTTGTCATCATTTGGTCTGGTAAAAGCTTTTACTGGAATTACAGCCAGCCCTGCTCATTACTGTTTGTAGAAATGTGTGGATCTTCTAGTGGATCAGAGTAGACTGAATAATCATTTTTCCCCCTTCACTTTAAAGTGAGTGTTTTCTTAATTCACAGTTCTGAGCAGGTTTCTGCAACTAAATGCTCCTCGCCCTAATTGGATTATTTTGCTAAGTGTGTAGCAATTTAAAAGGAAAAAAATGGTAGGGTAACTAAAATTCATTCAAATTTTATTTTCCTTGGATATTTTGCTACAGCGTGGTTAAAAAACAAGCCTGTACGTTCTTAATAACTGTTGTATATTCCAATACGGCATTCTGAGAACACTCATATCACTGTGTAACAAGAGACTGACTGTTTTAGGAAGTGTGCATGTGTGAATCCCTGTGCTGATCTGTATTTAAACAGGTCATTGCAATTTTTTGAAGCACGTGTCCTTGAGATCTTTATCATTGTGTAGTTTAACAAAGCACCCAATCGTATCTGAGAGATCGGCTGCCCTCTGCCCTAGCCGGGCTCCTTTCTGTGTGTCTCAGTGCCACAATATTTGGTTCCTCTGCCTTCTCTGCTGCTACAGTCTAGTACCAAATAATATTAAAGCCACGGAATCTCTGGGAGCCTCTCATCCTCAAAGATCAACCCGATCTAGCAAAATGCAAAACAGTTGTCGTTCCGTTTTTGTTCCTGAATTTAAAGCATGTAAATTAAGTTTGGAACTCGTGTCCTTCATTTCCATGTTGCGCTCCAAAGAAAAATCACTTTTTGTTTGACTCTTTTTTTTCACCTGAAGAATCTTGAAAATCTCTACTTTATACTGTAGGATTGCCACCAGCACTGTTCATGAAAAATATTAAATTCAAGTGTGTAAAACACTGTTATTGTTTTTGACCATTTCTGTTGCATGTATTAAAATGGACATTTGGCGAATTTAAAAATCACGGTCAGCTCTCAAAACTCAAAAAGAGTTTCAGAAGACATGGGACTCTTTCATTTGATTCTTGCAAAGATAATACAGTGTATGCAAAAGCTGTATTTAAAACAACAGGTATCGCTCCGATGGCAGGTAGAACTCTTGGGATAGGGTTTGGGAGTTTAGAGGTTTTTTTATGCAAGTATTGATTTCTTCTTCGTTACCTCAGTGTAGGTGAATACTATATTGTTGCTTATTTGTATTTGGTTTTCGCTCTATGATCATTTTGTTTTACCTTCAGATATAGAAAATTGAAGTACACTGACTGAATGGTCATACCTTGAATGCATAAAACCTTGCTTCACAATAAAACTGATTTGAAACGGGAAAAAAAATCAACTAATGGTCCATAAATCACGTACCTAATCTGTTCCAGGCCTGTTGCTAGTTATTGTGAAGTTCCCGCCATCAGCTTTCTAAATGCCTCTCTGGGTATATGTCTCAGAGTTTACATCCTGGCCCTTGTTGTCTCTCCTCAGCATGTTAAAGACATCATTCTCCAGTCAAACCCTTTGCTGGAGGCCTTTGGAAATGCAAAGACACTGCGGAACAACAACTCCAGCAGATTTGTAAGTGCTGCGTGTTTTCGGGTAACATCCTGTTTGCACTGTCATGTCCTGTGGCTTTGGCAGAACAAAGGAGGAACAGCCGGGAAAAAAATTAAAATGCAGCCCCGAGAGCCAGTTTTGCCTTTTCATGAGTTTTATTGTTGCATGCTCCCTCAGATTTGGTTCACTTTACACACAATCTTTTAACTGCAAGCAGGGAGGATGTAAACCAAGTTAAAGCAGGGACAGCTGCTCTCATTCCCCGGCCACAAGACTTGACAGCAGTACACCACTCCTGTTTTACTGCTGCTGGCTGAAAACACAAGCCAGCTTGGCCTCTCCATCCAAGCTTCTTAATTAATGTTCCTTCTGTGTCGATAAAACAAAAATGACTTTCTGTCCTACCCAAACAAATTACCCTTTCATCAGTTTTTTTTTAATTTCTTATCATTGGAGAGTAATAACAGTAAATGCTTTGCAAAACGCACACAGGTTTGAAAATGGGACTGTGTCACTGGCCACTAGTGACCGGGAGTCCCCTAGGGGTGCTGCACTGCAGAGGGTAGGGGAGGAATGCTGGGAGACTATGTGGCAGGGCTTAATTGGTGACACCTTATAACTGACAATTGAATGTTTTAAAGAAAACTCTCAGATATGTGTCCAGTCAGACGTTACTGTTTCTTGATGAACTGTAACTTCATGGCTCTTTGCAGTAGCTCAGAAGACGAAGTTTGCGACTGAGGGCCCACAATACATTGCAAGCTCTGCTTTTTACTTGACATGCCTCTCTTTGACACGGCAGCTCTACCCTCTCTTTCAGGGAAAATACTTTGAAATCCAGTTCAGCTCGGGAGGAGAGCCAGATGGGGGGAAAATTTCCAACTTCCTGCTGGAAAAATCCCGGGTTGTTATGAGAAATCCTGGTGAGAGGAGCTTCCACATATTTTACCAGGTAAGGAAAGGGGGGCTTTCAAGAAAATGTCCTCAGCTTGAACGGTTTTCAGAATATATGGGAAAGAAATGCTGTTTGGCTGCTTCAAACGCATGTCGTTCCTTTTCAGTGTGTCATTGAGGTCTTTGGAAAACTAGAGGAGGTTTTGCTTCCCTATAATATAATTTCCTGCAATTTAGAGCAAAAAATAAAAATGTATGAACGGGGGATTCGCAATAGATACATATCTTCAAAATGACTTTTGGCTGATTTGCAATTTGCCATGCTTTTACAACTTAGCAATTTTCATGAATTAAAGGTTTTTGGTAAGCATGCTTCTTTGAAATCTTTAGGCATCTGTATTGCATCACTGTTGGCGCTTGGGTGAAACGTTTTAGGATTACTTGGAGAATGCAGCTTCTCTAATCATGCAGTGATTTGAAGTTGGATATCTAATCACCTGGCCTCTCATCTTCACAGCTGATAGAAGGAGCCAGCGGAGATCAAAGAAGCAGTCTTGGAATCACCTCCCTGGACTATTACAATTACCTCAACCAGTCTGGTTCCTACAAGGTGGAAGACATCAATGACAAGAGTGACTTTCAAGAGACAATGGTAAGAACTTAGATCTGCTTCTGTTTATGGTAGTGGTGGTGGTCTCCAGTCCTTGGTGGGCCTCAGTATCTACGGGTTGAATTCCCACTTCGCTCTTTATGACCTATTTGAGCTGAACTGGACCAGTTTAAAACTTGATTAACACTTAACACAAAGGTCTGCAGCTGCTGGTGATTTAAAGAGACCTGGAACACCTACTGGATTCTGGCCCTCCAAGAACTAAACTTTTCTGCTCATGGATTTATGCCTGATGTTGCAACAGGAAAAGGCAACAAAAGTGCTAAATTAGAAAACTGAAATAAAAGGCATGAAAGTAGTGAACAAGCAACAAAGGAGCAATACCAGAGAACATACTGGATCCATCAAATGGAAACACTACATCCTCAGGGGGTCAAATCTAGAGCTTGATTTCTGCATCTGTCTTTAATCTGTTTTTCTGTGATCGTTGTTGTTTATTCTTCTCTGTACTTTCTTAGAAAGATAAAAATTTCACTTCAGAAACCAGTGTGATCTTTTGAATTTAATAGATACATCTATGACCTGCCTCAGTGGATTCAATTGTGTATTCAACTTTTAATTGTTTCTCTCGATACCGATTAAAAAAAACTGCTGATGAAATATTTTAGACTAAAAATCTTATGTGATTTTCCAATTCCTTTAGTATTTTATGCTTTGGTGAATAGCTAATTATCAGTGTAGCTGTCATTTGAAATGTTGAAATATTTGAAGAGAGAACACCTGCTTGTTCTGTTGCATCTCTGACGAGGTATATATATTTGGAATGAGAAGTGATATCCCATGTAATATACAAAATGAATAAGCTAATTTGAAGTGAAATGTTATGTCACTATGGAAACACTTTGACAATAAAGCACTTGCTTGTATTCTGTATTCATGTCTGAATGTGGAGATTCTAATATAAAGCTTCTTTAAGAGTACAGTGTCATATGCATGCAACAGATGGGCAAGAGAGTGTTTTCATTTCACAAGACCAGAAAGGACCATTACATTTTGATTTAGGCAAGTGGTGAAATTCTTGTTGATTCACCTTCTCTCCAAGTGAACTTATCACCTATTCTCAAAGCATGTGAGTCCATGCACTCTGTCAACCAGATGTTGACTCAGTATAGTATAGATTCATGACTAAAACAGAAGAGGCCCTTATTTAAAAAGCAGTCCATCAAAAAATTGGCTCAGAATTCCAAAGTCCTTTAGGTTCAGCTCCACTGTTTCTAATTTTACATCTAGAAGCAAGCATTACAAGATCTTCAGTATGCTGAATGAGATCTCCTGAGTTAAGGCCTTTATCTGTGGAGCTCCTGATTAATGGAATTCAATCCCTTGCCTCCTAGAGGTTTTAATTTAAAAAATGCTCAATTTCAAAACCCTTTTTTGAGAATTATAGATTGCACTGTCTTGATCTAGTTTTTAACACATGCATAACTAAAATTCATGCTTTTAACAATAAATGCAGATTCTATGGGACAAGGGTGAGTGACCTTTACTCCTCCAGGATCATTGCAATCAGAATGTGATGCAATCAGAATGTCAATCACTAAATTAATCCTTAAATACCTGATTGACTCTGCTGCTGTGAACCACTGGGAAGGGAATGGGAAAGCCAGGACTGTCGGTCCCTGCCCGAAGACATGCAGAGATCTTATGGGGCTCCTGGCTCAGATCAGATCATACTACAGGCACTCAAGACTGGTATAATGAACTGAGCCCCCTCTCCCTCATTCGTGGCTTTTTCGCTGACCTGCTTCTGTTGGTCATGTGCTCTCCAGCCTCCTGTCACCTGTCGTTTCCTCCCCGTTCTCTCCCTCCAGCACGCGATGAACGTGATTGGGATCAGGTCCGAGGAGCAGATGCAGGTCCTGCAGATCGTGGCGGGCGTGCTGCACCTCGGCAACATCACCTTCAAGGAGTCTGGGAACTACGCCGCCGTGGAGAGCGAGGAGTGTGAGTATCGTTACGGGCGGAGGGTGGAGGCGCAGGGGTTAGGGGAATTTAGGCTGGCTTTATAAATCTCCGACAGCACAACACTGTTTTCCTAATAAAAAGCACTGGGAAGATGGCAGCATCCTGTGTAAAGCTCAGAATATAGGTGTTTTTTTTTCTTTTGAACTTGGGACGTTTTTCTTTTGTTTCATAAAAAAAAGTATAGAAAACCTTAAAGCGATGGAAAATAACCGTTTACTAATATTACCCCCTAATCAGGATATATGTTTCTGTTGTAGAACTTTCTGTAATTCTGCATTATTGCTTTTCTCCTGGGCTTATGGGCAGGGCAGCTTTTTCTATGCAATGCAGCTCTGTGGAAATGGCAGTATTACATCACTAACTAGAATTCTGCAAGGAAATATTGGATTTCCTGCCCTCCCCCTTTTCAGAATGGCTGAAATCTGAATTTCAGAGGCTGCTGTTCCATGGGTACAAAGCCACCTTCTGTTCTGTGCAGATGTCTTTTTGGTGTTCCCTAATCGCTGTGCTTCCTTTTCGAGTGTCACATCCCCTCTGCAGTCTGTCTTCTGCTGTCTACATCCTGGTACTCCACATCTGTTCGCTGCTGGCTGCTGTGGGTCCCAGCACAGCCCTTTGTACCACAGACGCCTGTTTCCTCCCCACAGCCCTGAATATATATATAACTTGCTCTGTCATGACAGGAGTCAAAGCTTTTGGATTATTCATTTGTCCCCAGTGCTGTGGGGATTTTTACTTCTCGTTAATGTTTGACAATAGTTAACGTATTCATATAATATATATAGAGACATTTGCAAATTAATATTCCATTTTATTAAATTGCCAATCAATAAATAAACATGTTCACTTCCTTTGAAGTAATATTCCAAAGTTTATGGATAAACAGGAGATACACATAGATGAAGCTCAACAGTGTATTAACAAAAAGGTCTCATGACAGGAGAGTAAATGAATCTGCTATAGCACTGCAGCAGCACAGACATTTTCCTGCTTGGGTTAGCATTCTGTCGAGCATGTTTAACTCCCAAATGAGATAGAGGGGCCGCAAGGCCTCCTCTCTTTCTGATTACTTTAGGTTATGTCAAGTTCGTTTAAAGGTCTGGCCTCACTGGAATAATATTATTCTTCTTAGCAAGTCATATTTTTAGAATGGAACCAATAGACAAGGGGAGAGGTCCAGTCAAGTTACTCCAAATTACCTGTTACTTCAAGATTAGGAAAGCTGGTGTGAGCAGACCATTGATTAAACAATGTTTTGAGGAAGGGAACTACTTTTTGTTCCAGATGGTCTCTAAATGACTCCATTGAACACACCACCTGTTCAATGGATCACAGTTAACGTCTTCCTGGACATTAGAAATTAATGATTTTCCAGGCCAGCTCTAACAGCTGCTAGACTGGGGCTCTCCAGGACCAGGGTCAGAGACCCCTGCTCAGGCTTCAAGCACACGGGGCCGTGAAACCAAGAGGGCAGTGTGGGGGGGCTTCGCGCCACCTGGCTGGCAGTGTGGTGCACTGCGGGGAGGGAGAGAGGGAGGCTTCCCTAGGGAGAAGGGAGACTACACAGGTAGACACAGGTAGACACCAGCAGAGCGCCAGGCCAGACTCTCCAGGCTAGGGGTGCCCCATCCCGGTCCTGTGACCCACATACTTGAAGGATTTTGCTCCTGCAGAGCCCTCAGCTACACAATCAAACCCTTTATTGACTTAATAATAACCAGATGGATTTGAACTTAAACATGTTGGAGCTTTAACTGTTGGATGTCGTAAGTGAAATAAAATCCCAAGTTTTTAACTAGAAACAAAATGCAAATATTCAATTGCATGAACTTCTGAGATCAGTTACGGCTTCAGTTATCTGATGAAGGTGGGAGGGGATGAAAACCAGCAGGTGTGTTTTTTCTAAAAATATGACCTGCTAAGAAGAATAATATTATTCCAGTGAGGCCAGACCAGGCGCCACCAGGACCAGGATTGGGAATCACTGCTCCAGGTGTCCATATGGCTCCTCCGTGTTAAAACGAGCCCTGTGCTGGTGTCCGCTCTGTCGTTTTCCTGCCCGTTGGGCAGCGCACCTCACGAGACATGGCTACGTTTATTTCACATGGTGGGAGCCAAGCTATAATGTTGTGGCTTGGGTGGAGATGGAGAGACGTTGAAAAGCTGGCCGTAGCGATGGGCTTCGGGTGTTAAAGCAGGCCCTAATTGTGCTCCTGCAGTCCTGGCCTTCCCCGCCTTCCTGCTGGGCATCGACCAGAGCCGGCTGAAGGAGAAGCTCACCAGCAGGAAGATGGACAGCAAGTGGGGTGGGAAGTCGGAGTCCATCGACGTCACGCTCAACGTGGAGCAGGCCTGCTACACCAGGGATGCCCTGTCCAAGGCCCTGCACGCCCGCGTCTTCGATTACCTGGTGGAGGTGAGCAGTGCTCAGCGCCCCTGCCGGCACAGGCACCAGTTACCAAGCACAACAGAGATGAAAAGAAAAGCAACTGCCTACTGTGTTTGATTTGCAGGGAGTTTTTTTTTAATGTAGAAAACCTTTCTTAACAAGATTTCAGTGCTATCATATCAGCATTTTGTTTCGTATTACTCTTTGTATGGTGCAGCGGTCGGGGTTCTGGATGCATAACTGCGAGGTTGTGGGTTCAAATCCCAGCACTTGTGTGAAAGAAGGGTTCTCATTAATGCATGAAGTAACAAGTCATTGCACTTGTTTGTCAGGGATCCATCCCCCTTGGAGTTTTACTGTGAGCACTGTTTCTTCCTAATCTAGTAGGAGTTAAAATGTGGGAGTGAATTTCCTAGTTGAAGCAACAGTGCACGAGGAGTAATGCCTGCATCTGTGCAAGACTATCAGATGAGCAAAGGTTTTAGTTCACGTCTTATTTAAAATCCTTTTCATTCCTTCAGTAAACTGAATTATAAATCTGTATATCATGCAGATGGGATCTATAACTGCTTCTATATACAACAGAAAAGTGCTTCCTGCCCCAAAAATGTCTGTTTTATGCTTCGGTTGTGCTCAACAGTTCAGCTGCAGATTTTTTTTTTTGTTTCTGTGGAATCTGCTCAGAGAGAATTGAGGTAGCGGATAAAAGCTGGAACGAAGTGCTTTTAATGGACTGCTAACATCTGGCTGGCAGGTTTAGCTAGGTAGCTGAAGCCCAGTCGAAGTGATTATGGAGGGAAGAGTGAAGGGTAATGTCAGTGGCCAAGGAGTCTTTAAAACCGCCTGTGTCAGCAGAGTGTGTTGCAAACTAGGGCCTGGCTAGCACATTGCTTGGGTCTGAAGGATAGGGAGAAATGTGCTATTAAGTCAAGACAAACTAATTATTTCTGCGCCTCTCTGTCTTCTAAACCTGGTGGAGATGTGATTTTAATAGCATTCTTATTAATATCTAATGTACTAAGAACATAAACGTTACAAGCAAAAAGAGTATTTGACTCATCGAGCCTGTTTGGTAATTGGTCGCTAAATGATCTAAGGCTCTCATCCAGCTGCACATACTGTATGTTTGTTCATTGCAGTCGATTAATAAAGCCATGGTGAAGGACCATCAAGACTACAACATAGGAGTGCTGGATATTTATGGATTTGAAATTTTCCAGGTAAGAATGTTTGTGTGGGCGTTCAAATCCCTATCAGGCCCTAGATACCAAGCTGTACTGTGAATAAAGAAACGGTGAAATGCAAATGGTGCTGTGACATAGCAGTAGGTTTGGAATGAAAAGATGAAATTCATAGTACTTATTTAATTGTCTAAAATGTATATGAATGCCTAGACTTCAGTAATCACACATCTTGAATAGCATTTTACGTCTTACCTGAAATATCTTTAAGCACTGTAACATGTAGTTGCTGAGAGAGTAAGAGTCTCAATAATATGTCATTATACTATAAATGTATCGATTGCAGGGCCTCACTGTACTTTTGTTTTTGTTTGTTTGTTTAATACTTTACAATTCAACCCAAATTCTCTGCTCTGTTCTACCGGGCGGTTTCTTAATGTCTTGTTCAGCATGTGAAGGCTCATGGGAGTACAGAAATCGGTGCCCAGACTATAAAAAGGGACACTACAGCTTACAGAAGATAATAAGCAGTGTACAGGGCTCAGGCTGGAACACTGCTTCAATTATGATTTCTCATCACGAAAGCTATGTTGACTTGGAGATAAGAGTTCCTTAAAAACCACAGCTGTAGGCGGCAGAGAGCATATCCCCAGCTTGCCAGAGTGCCCTGCAGATTGTCAAAGTGCTTTATTGCATGTTTTATTTTTAGTACGTGGTTGAAGTGCATTATTTAAGCACCCAAAAACCCTTTTCTTACTCACTTTTCATGGTTAGGTAGAGCACAATCGAATGTGATTGTGTCTGTTTTTGTTATCTACAGGAAAGGAAAGCACAGTACCTGGAATTTTCATGTTACAGGATATAACTGGTTATGGCATATACAGTGTTTTCTGATATTTGGTATTTAGACTATGTTACTGTCAATGGTACATTAAATATCCAGTTCGGCTTGAGTTATAACACATTTTATCCTTTTCAGAAAAATGGCTTTGAACAGTTCTGCATCAACTTTGTGAATGAAAAACTCCAGCAGATTTTTATTGAGCTGACCCTGAAAGCCGAACAGGTAATAAGACTTTTAGAGCCCGTCATGCATGAATATCGATCTCCTATAAATCAACCATGACATTAATGCAGCTGGTGCCATCGAGATCTGGAGAAACCCTCTTTGCTGTACATCACCTTGACTAAGATAATCCCATGATGGAATGCAACTTATTTGAAACAAATGTGCTTAACCCACTTTATCACTGGAGAATGTACAGTAGTCTTTCTTAATTATCATTTTTATCATTTTAGATGGTCAAGAAGAAGAAAAGGGAAAAAAAAACAAAATATATTAAATAAGATTTTATAAAAAATAGTTCAACTTCAGTGTCAGTGACGAGAAATACAGTATCCTGTATTAAAGGCACAGTTGCCATTGTATATAGTTAATGGAAAATGCATCCGCTGGCTTCAGTTCCCTAATCATTACATTCAGCCCAGAGCTGTCTTTCAAAACAGCTCTCAGAAACCTCTGAGGCCCCTCCTCTCAGAACCCTCTTGGCTTTCTCTCTCAGGAAGAGTACATTCAGGAGGGCATTAGATGGACTCCCATCGACTACTTCAACAACAAGATTGTCTGTGATCTCATAGAGAGTAAAATTGTAAGTCTTGCTTTTTACACACCTCCTTAAACTTTTTGCTGTGTTCAACAATGAAACTCATTTTGAAATGACTGGGATAACATTGTGGGTTTCAGTGAATGATCAGTTCAAATTCAGTTTTCTCCCCATTGTGTAACCAGTATACATGGTAAATGACAGGACAACACCCTGTTTGTCTGGACAGCAACCCACAAGGGACTCTCAGCACTTCTGCTTTAATCCTGCACACCATCCATTAAAGATAAGGCAGAGTCACAAGATAAAGCCATTCTTGGACTCATTAGGGCTATATGCTCTCCTATGTTTCTGCTGTTCCTTCCTGCAGCTGTAATTGTTAGACCTGCACTTGTGCTGTCATGCTTTTTGAATTCCGTTGCATCCGTGTTTATCCCAAAAGCCACCATTTTTATCTGTGAATTTCAGAACGAGGAGTGAAACCTTCTGATCTGACCGAAAAAAGACACGGCATGTCGTTCGTTAGATTCTTGTTCCAATGTCGTGTTGCGTAGATGTGGGAATGCAGTCTTCCCCACAGTCAGGAGAAAAGCACGAGTTGTTTGTTTTGTCGAAAACATGACCCAGAGAATTGAAAATTCTGGCTGGAACGGGCTGCCCTTTCCTGACAGCTGGGACTAAGCTTTGTGTTTTTATTTTTTTATCCAGCTCAGCGGCAGCTGTGGTTTGACATACTCAATTAGCTAAAAATGGAAGTTGGTGACTCCCTTGAAAGCTACATGTGCATATGTTTGTGCTCGGAGATGGTG